CCCAGCTTTAACTTATGATCAGACTAGAAAGAATGACCCTTCAGTCAGGCATCCCAGAAAAGTTCACTCTTTGATTGGCAAATATTGTCAGCACCCTGCAAAACACCAGCTCTACGGCAATAAATACAAAATCCAGGAGAAGTTCCCATGCTAGGGGAGCAGACAGACACTAAATAAGCAATTCTGAGAATGATGAGTATTAAAAAGGATGCATAAAGTGGTATGGAGCACAAAGCAAGAAGCTCCATCCTAAATGAGATCTCCTTGAGAAATTGTAAACTGAAGAGAGTAACAAACAAAAAGGGAAGGCACATGTACTCCAGGCTGGGCTGAACCGAAAGGAGATCTACTTTTCTGCTTCGAGCAGAAAATGTTTCATCGCCAGCATACGACACTGTTGACCAGTCGCTCCTTCTTGAAAAGACTCTGCCCTTGGTTTCTGACACCAGACTTGCCTGAGTTTTCTTGTGCTTTCCTACACCCTCCTTCCCAAATTTCTCAGCACCTACATCCTCAAGCCTTTTTATTCTATGCGTTCTCTCTGATTCCTGTTACTTTCCTGTCAGTGCTTCCTCTATCCTTAACTGTCGTAACATTCCAAAATAAATGGAAGAGCTTCATAAAGGAAATGGCTTTCTAATCTTAAAAACAAGATGAAAGATCAAATAAAGCAACAAATTAGAACGTAAGTCCCAAAGGATCATGATTACATAATTCTCTTTGCACAAAAAATTGCATTATTTAGGTATGTAATACATACTTTTAGATGCTTATAAAGCTTTCTCCATAACCAAAAGCCGACAACTTACCTTCACTGTGTTGTGTATACTATTCCAGCAGAGGGTCACGCATACACTCAGTAAAAATCAATAGTTTCGCGGGCCAGCCGAGTGGCTCAGTTGGTTAAGAGTTGGCTTAAGAGCGTGAGCTCTGAGCAACAGGGCTGCCGGTTCGATTCCCACATGGGCCAGTGATGCTGCGCCTGAGCTGAGCTGTCGCTGAGCTGCCAACATGTGGCAGGATGGCTCAGCTGGTTTAACAACAAGATTGCCTATTCGATGGTGGGCTACACCCGCCCGCAGCTAAGACTGATCTCGGCACCTTGAGCTGAGCTGCCACCCAGGTGGCTTAGTGGATAGAGTGTGTGCTCTTAACAAGGCTGATGGTTCAACCCCCACATGGGACGGTAGCTACGCCCACCCGCAACTAAGATTGAGCTTAGAGGCCACGAGCTGCCGACGGGCAGCCAGATGGCGACTAGCACCCTCCACAACTAAGACTGAAGAACAACAACTTGGCTGGTCCCCTTCCCCAATTCCCCAATACTGTTCCCCTCCCCCAATTCCCCAATAAAATCTTTAAAAAAACAACAATAGATTCTGAAATACGTGTTTTCCATCATTGGTAAACTAGCTAATGAAGTAATTTTTTAAACAAATGACTCAAGCCAAGTCAAGTCACTTCCTTGTTTCTATGCCTCCAATCTTGTTCTCTTTACCCACCAAATGAATACATTAAACTGGTGTTAAATCAAAATGTTATTTCTAAAATCCAAATCGGTTCCTATTGATTTCCTGCTTAAAACTCTGAGCTCTCTCTTTCAATAGATCAAAACTCAAAGTCAAGGTTCTCTGGTCACCTTTTCTACCACCACTCACTCCACAACTATGCCAAACCACTCACTATTCTCCAAACACATTCATTGTTAGTTCACAGTTCCGTGGTTTGCAGATATCCCTCTCTGCCCCCACTCACCAAAAATGTCCTACTCCTCCTTCAAAGCTAAGATAAAATATCTCATCTCGTGACCACCCCACACACACACCCCTCCATACCACATACTAGATCACATCCTCTTTGAGGCCACAAGCATACCTTACATGCAACCTATTACAGCACCTATCACTTCGGCCTGTAGCTTTCTCTGTTTGTGTCCACTACCAGGCTAATGTCCTATAGGGCTGAGGCCGTGTCTTAATCATCTGGGTACCTAAGAATAATCCCTGCCTCAGGCCGGCCAAGTGGCACGTTGGTTAAGAGCTGGCTTGGGACGCCAGAGGGCCCCGGTTCGGATCCCACATATGAGGGCCAGTGACACTGCCCTCAACTCCCCAGCGTTCCCATCCCCCAATTCCCCAATAAAATCTTTAAAAAAAAAGAACAGTCCCTGCCTCTATACAAGGCAGTGGGGCGTCCAAATGACTGATGAATAGGCTTCCTGAACATATACCTCAAGTTAGAGAATTATAGAAATAAATGGGTAGAGGAAGCTTAAGTGTCTTAGCTTGAATGGGCTGCAAACTTCACCCTCAAAAATCTACAGAGCAAACAAATGTCGCCGGGGACGGGGCCAGAGCAGGACCCGTCGCGCCCAGACTCACTGGTGATCCTCACGGCGCGGTCGGTGCGGAAATCCTCCGTGTCCGGCTCGTCGCGGTCCTCCAGGAAATTGTACTCTGGGTCGTCGTCATCGTCCGCCTCATCTGGGGGAAAACGTTTCAGACACTTACTCCCAACGCTGAAGCCTTTTCTCCAGTAGAAATGTGAGATATTCAGCACCGTAAGAATCTGTTCAACAAGGCACATTCACTCTTAAGTTCTGAAATAACTGATTTTTTCCTCCGTGCCTTTGCACAGGCCATTTCCCACAGCTGACCCATCTCGTCAACTCTCTCCAAGAAGCTAAGTTCCTTCCTTTGAACGAGACTTGAATCTCTCAAAATCCAGAGAACTGAGTATTTAATTTATCTCAGTAATCCCACTTTGAATAGTGCATCTCATGAAAATAATACTTTTGTAAAATTACTTATACAAAGACATTGATAATGAAAAAAAGGAATGACCCTAATTCCCAATAATTAGGGAATGACTATAATTCTGATGCCTTAGTATAAAAGTGTATACATATAACACATACACGTTATATTCCATAAATATTCAATACATATATAACCAAGTACAACACAGTATCATACAAACATAATAATCGTAAGTATGAAAAATTATACCCCTACAATAGGACTCAGAGTAACTAAAAATATACAAAAATAATAAGCATGTTAAGTTAGAGTACAGAAACAAGGCATTTTTCTCCTAACTCTCTCTAATATTGATGCTATGATGTCTTGCCTATTCCTAAACAAACACTGGGGTTGTTATAATAAGGAGACATTTTTCCTGGGACAGCTTCAGGTCGCTGCCGGCTAACAGAACTTTCTGCACTAATGGAAATGTTCAGCACGTGCATGTACAGTAACGGCAGCACCAGCCATGTGCAGCGACTGAGAGCGTGAGATGGAGCCAGTACAACTGAGGGACTGAATTTTTTAAAAAATCTACCAAATGTCAAAATGAATTCCTTACTAGTGTGTGGCCATTAAATGAGAGAGGGGAAGATCTCTACGTGTCACAACAGGGAAAGGTCTAAGCTGTGTTAAGTGAAAGAAACCAGTTGAAGACGCAGAACAGTATGTAGTTTGATTCCTTTTGTGGAAAAAAAAATCTTATTTAAGATAAATATGGGCTTGATTGAATACACAGAAATATCTAGAAAGTTTTAAGAGGCTGAAGAATAGAACTTGGTACTTTGTACTCTTCCATGATGTCTTATTTTTTCATAATAAATGAGTACAGTAAGTCCCCGACTTACAAACATTCGAGTTGCAAACTTTCACAGAAAAAAACGGACATCGCATTATGAACATTCATCAATGCAAACAAATCACAGAAGCAGAAGTAGCTCCCGTGTCTGCCGGACATTGTCACAGTTGTGCTGCTGTGCGCTTACTGTACAGTGTGATAGTGAACAGTAGTACAGTGCTCAATCAGCCCAGGATGTCCGAAAGCAAGAGGAAAAGCAGTGGTGATGTGGAGAGGACTGCTCGGAAGCACAGAGCAATAACCATGGAAACAAAAGTGAAATTAATTGAGTGGCTGGACCGAGGCGAAAAGATGACAGACATCACTTGTTCTTATAATATGAATCATTCAACCATTGGCTTTACATTGTATTTTGTCTCAAAGGCGTATAAGACTCAGTTTGTCAGACTTACGCACAAGTCCGACTTACAAACGTTCTCCCGGAACGGAACTCGTTCGTAAGTCAGGGACTTACTGTATTTTTCATTAAAAATGAAAATACACACACACATTTTTGGTTCACAATTATTGGAAAATCTGTACTGATTAGCCCCAATCTAACCTGATAACCTTTATTCAGGGTTTATACTCAGTTTCCAATACATTAATTCGCACTGTTTACGCATAGCTATTTAAATGTCAAGTCTTTTTCATCCATTTGTGGGTTTATCTCCTCCCCAGTAAAACTTTAATCCTTAGGAACAGAATCTTGTCTCCCTAATCTCTCAGGTACTTTCCATGTAAGTGTCTTCCCAGAAGGTTCTCTCCAAACATTGGGGAATGAGGAAAGCTCTGGAAGAGCCTGTAACATACGAGCAGTGGATGAGGGGCGGGAACCCCAGCTGTTCGGGTGCAATAACTGTAACAGCAGGTTCTGTCCACAACGCACAAATG